GGTGGCTGTGTGGTGGCAGTGTGGTGGCTGTGTGGTGGCTGTGTGGTGGCTGTGTGGTGGCTGTGTGGTGGCAGTGTGGTGGCTGTGTGGTGGCAGCGTGGTGGCCTTCAAGCTACAGTAACAAGCAGCCACGCCGAGCAGGTCATCACCAGGGCAGGCCAGTCACAGAACAACTGACGTAGAACAACTGTAGATGTCATGCAGTAAGTATATAGAGGTAAGGGACGCCCTAGTGAAGATTAATTGAACGTTCCTAAGCATATAGACACCGTGTGGTTTCTTCACAAGATCTTAACTACCATTCATCTCAACCTCTTTAGTTCTTGTGTGTGCTCGTTAAAGGAAGCTGCCTATTAAGATTGGGTAGTGTAGTTAACTGCTCACGAATACAGCTCATTTTGTCTCGTGAATTTAGAACCTATTTTTGCTCGTGGAGACAAATTCAGTTTTTCTCGAAATGGGTTTGCCATTAAATCGGAACCTATTTTTTTGGCTCGTATTAATAGGGTTTCTCTTGAAAACCACCTATTTTAGCTCGGGGTAATAGGTTGGCTCATGAAAATAGTCAGTTTTTGCTCGTGGTAATAAGTTGTTCATAAGAACTTAACTGGCATTGCGCTCGTTACAGTCAAGGTAATTATCTCCTTATGAGTGGTGCAGTAACGAGGACTTAACTCAGCAAGACGAAACTTCTCTAAACTCCTCAATAACAGTCGAGTTGTTCCATAATTACGTTTGAAATTGTCCAAGAATTTATGCCATTTTACCTGTTGTTAGATGATAACATCAACACGTCTCTGAGAACCATTTGAGATATGTCAAGTGGCGGTGTTCATGGACGTCTTGAGACTTCTAATGGCAAGTTTACTTTTGTTTGATACTTTTGTGGGTTCTTATTGGTAACTACAGGTGGGACCCGGCGGCGTCCGGGTCTCTCTCTCTCCCTTCTTTCCCCTCGCTAGCCCATCTCCCCTCTCTCTCCTCCCCTCCTCTCTCCCTCCTCCTGCTCCCCCCCTTACATCTCCCAATTCCCCTGCCCCCTACTCAACTCTTCTTAATCTCCTTTATCCTGCCTCTCTTCCCCTCTCCTTCCCTTTCTTACCAACATCACCCTCTCTTTCCCCTCTCCCCCTACTCTCGCATTATATCTCTATCTCTGTCCCAAAATGTAACACTGTAGTCTAAATGAATACGCGCTGCACGCTTTAAGTAAACTAGGAAAATGCGACGCAGATAAACGGCGGAATTAAGCATAAAAAAATACACCAAACACAACCAATAATTTTATTTCCGACTACATGAAAATTGCCGGGGGTCGCTGTAGCTCGCGATATTTCATAAAGTGTGGCACTGGGGCCGACCCCGACTGGCAGGGACAACCCCCATAACTTCCATGTGTCATCTTGAAAAGTTGAGTGAGGCATCAGACATATTTGGGCAAGCCACAGCGACCAGGTGTCTACTGTTTTGTAGATATAGACAGTATCAGTGGTGGTGGCATTAGTGACCCCGATGACCAATAGATGGCACTGGTGGTAATGTTTATTTACCTCCTAGAGTATGAAGTGTCGTGTTAGATGTTAGAGCTTCTGAAATTTAGGATCGCTCTGGGCTATAATCACCAGCCCTCAAACCTCGTATCCAATTACACCCCCCCCCTTATCATTCCACACTCCCCCCTCCCCCTCACCCACCATTCCATACCCCCTCACCCACCATTCCATACCCCCTCACCCACCATTCCATACCCCCTCACCCACCATTCCATACCCCCTCACCCACCATTCCACAACCTTCGTTGTCCAAGAATATTGACTGTCCAGAAATCATGTCCAGCGACTCGCCAAGATCAATCCTTGCATTGAACACAAAATAGTAACACTGAAAATAATAATATTTGAATGAATGTTTTGACCTAACGAAGATTTGAGCATTGAACACACATAGAAGTAACACCCAGAAAACAGTCAGTGATACTCGAATGATTGTTTTAGCTGCTAAAGAAAAGAGATTTTAAATTAAATTCCTTTGGATACCATCATATGTTGGCATTTCAAAGCATGACACTGTTGATATGCTTGCAAAGACAGCCTGTAGTAGATCAGTAGTAGAAATTGATATGGGTGTTTCATTAGTAGTGACAAAGACAATACTTAAATATCTAATGAATACTTAAATATCTTACTGACTTAACAGATTCACAAAGACCTTAAAGTTGTAGCATTAACCATTGATAAATATCGTGAGGAAACATTCACATATGAGACTAATAGAACAAGAACCCGGCAATGTGATGTTATAGTGGCCAGAATACGCCTGTGATATAGACGTATTTGGCAGCTTTCTCAAAACCCAAATGTCGAGTACACAATGTGTCAACTTTGTGAAAGTGTCGAATACACCATGTGTCAACTTTGTGAAAGTGTCGAATACACCATGTGTCAACTTTGTGAAAGTGTCGAATACACAATGTGTCAACTTTGTGAAAGTGTCGAATACACCATGTGACAACTTTGTGAAAGTGTCGAATACACCATGTGTCAACTTTGTGAAAGTGTCGAATACACAATGTGTCAACTTTGTGAAAGTGTCGAATATACCATGTGTCAACTTTGTGAAAGTGTCGAATATACAATGTGTCAACTTTGTGAAAGTGTCGAATACACCATGTGACAACTTTCTGAAAGTGTCGAATACACCACGTGTCAACGTTGTGAAAGAGAAAACGTGCATTCCTTTAAACATTACATTGTAGAATGTCCCATATTGACTGACCTTCCCCCTCCTGGGCTGAGGTATGCTGAACTCTGTAAATACTTTATGAATATTGAAACACCTGATGATATATTGGACTTGTACTCAAGATTGACCATGTAATACACCTATTATACAATGTATGTGATGTACCTATGATCTGAACTTATAAAGTAATCTTAATCATCTTCACTGGTTAAGTGTTTAATAACACACTAGTTCTATAGCAGCTATCTTACCTTGTCAAAGTGGGAGAGACATACATGTGTGTGTGTGTGTGTGTGTGTGTGTGTGTGTGTGTGTGTGTGTGTGTGCGTGTGTGTGTGTGTGTGTGTGTGTGTGTGTGTGTGTGTGTGTGTGCGTGTGTGTGTGTGTGTGTGTGTGTGTGTGTGTGTGTGTGTGTGTGTGTGTGTGTGTGTGTGTGTGTGTGTGTGTGGTGTGTGTGTGTGTGTGCGTGTGTGTGTGTGTGTGTGTGTGTGTGTGTGTGTGTGTGTGTGTGTGTGTGCGTGCGTGTGTGTGTGTGTGTGTGTGTGTGTGTGTGTGTGTGTGTGTGTGTGTGTGTGTGTGTGTAGGATATGTGGAAGCTGGCCAGAATTGCATTTCACATTTGTAAACGTATGTTTACAAACGTGAACATAGTTTTATGACACTATGTAAAAGAATAATCTGTGTATGTATGTAGGTTAGATTAGCATTTTAAAAGCACTCCACAATCACCTTCTGTGGTCGATTGCTCAATAAATCCCTGAACTATATGTTTAAGTTCTCTCACCCTGTCCATGGAAGACAGAAGAAAATGTATATATACACCGGTTAGTATTGTAAATGTGCGGCCACGTCTGAGGTAGAATATATATATATATGTCGTACCTAATAGCCAGAACGCACTTCTCAGCCTACTATTCAAGGCCCGATTTGCCTAATAAGCCAAGTTTTCATGAATTAATGTTTTTTCGTCTACCTAACCTACCTAACCTAACCTAACCTAGCTTTTTTTGGCTACCTAACCTAACCTTACCTATAAATATAGGTTAGGTTAGGTTAGGTAGGGTTGGTTAGGTTCGGTCATATATCTACGTTAATTTTAACTCCAATAAAAAAAATTTGACCTCATACATAGAGAAAAGGGTTGCTTTATCATTTCATAAGAAAAAATTTTAGTAAATATATTAATTCAGGAAAACTTGGCTTATTAGGCAAATCGGGCCTTGAATAGTAGGCTGAGAAGTGAGTTCTGGCTACTAGGTACGACATATATATATATATATATATATATATATATATATATATATATATATATATATATATATATATATATATATATATATATATATTATTGATCGTGCACTGTGCGGTGCACTATAAAACTCGCGGCTGGAGATTAATTCCTGGAAAATAGCGTGACGACGGGTGTGGGTGTGTACTCACCTAGTTCTACTGGCGGGGGTTGAGCTCTGGCTCTTTGGTTCCGCCTCTCAATCGTCAGTCAACTGGTGTACAGGTTCCTGAGCCTATTGGGCTCTATCATATCTACATTTGAAACTGTGTATGGAGTCAGCCTCCACCACATCACTGCCTAATGATTTCCATCTATTAACTACTCTGACACTGAAAAAGTTTTTTCTATCGTCCCTGTGACTCATTTGGGTGCTCGGTTTCCACCTGTGTCCCCTTGTTCGCGTACCTCCAGTGTTAAATAATCCCTGTCAATTCCCATAAGAATTTTGTATATGGTGATCGTGTCTCCCCTAAATCTTCTGTCTTCCAGTGTCGTAAGGTGTATTTCCCGCAGCCTTTCCTCGTAACTCATGCCTCTTAGTTCTGGGACTAGCCTAGTGACATACCTTTGAACTTTTCCAGCTTCGTCTTGTGCTTGACAAGTTACGGGCTCCATGCTGGGGCCGCACACTCCAGGATTGGTCTTACATACGTGGTATACAAGGTTCTGAAAGATTCCTTTCACAGGTTACTGAAGGCAGTTCTGTTGTTAGCCAGCCTCGCATACGCCGCCGATGTTATTCACTTTATGTGGGCTTCATGAGACAAGTTTGGCGTGATATCAACTCCTAGATCTTTCTCTCTGTCCGTTGCATGAAGAACTTCATCTCCCATTCGGGGTCCAGTGTCTGGCCTCCTGTTTCCTAGCTCCCCCTAGTTTCATTACCTTACATTTACTCAGGTTGAACTTTAGTAACCATTTGTAGGACCATTCCTTCAGGTGTGTGTACACGTGTGTGTGCACTCACATCACAGTGCGTGTGTTCGGCTGTATTTGTGTCACCCGAGCAATGTAACTGTCGATGCAGTACAGCGCGTCGATCACTGTAATTGAAGCATCAAACACAAGATCAGGCCCGGCAGTTCTGGAAATGGAAATGTATTGTCAGATTTATATGTTCATTGCTGGACTCGCTTCAGTTAACTGGATTATACGGAGCAGTTGTCACAACCACTGTGGCCCCTGACTTGCCCTGGGGCCCCTGACTTGCCCTGGGGCCCCTGACGTGCCCTAGAGGCCCCTGACGTGCCCTGGGGCCCCTGACTTGCCCTGGAGCCCCTGACGTGCCCTGGGGCCCCTGACTTGCCCTGGGGCCCCTGACGTGCCCTGGGGCCCCTGACGTGCCCTGGAGCCCCTGACGTGTCCTGTGGCCCCTGACGTGCCCTGGAGCCCCTGACGTGCCCTGGGGCCCATGACGTGCCCTGGGGCCCCTGACATGCCCTTGTGCCCCTGACTTGCCCTGGGGCCCCTGACTTGCCCTGGGGCCCCTGACGTGCCCTGGGGCCCCTGACTTGCCCTGGGGCCCCTGACTTGCCCTGGGGCCCCTGACTTGCCCTTGGGCCCCTGACGTGCCCTGGGGCCCCTGACTTGCCCTGGAGCCCCTGATTTGCCCTGGAGCCCCTGACGTGTCCTGTGGCCCCTGACGTGCCCTGGGGCCCCTGACTTGCCCTGGGGCCCCTGACTTGCCCTGGAGCCCCTGACGTGCCCTGGGGCCCCTGACTTGCCCTGGGGCCCCTGACTTGCCCTGGGGCCCCTGACGTGCCCTGGGGCCCCTGACTTGCCCTGGAGCCCCTGACGTGTCCTGTGGCCCCTGACGTACCCTGGAGCCCCTGACGTGCCCTGGGGCCCATGACGTGCCCTGGGGCCCCTGACATGCCCTGGTGCCCCTGACTTGCCCTGGGGCCCCTGACTTGCCCTGGGGCCCCTGACGTGCCCTGGGGCCCCTGACTTGCCCTGGGGCCCCTGACTTGCCCTGGGGCCCCTGACTTGCCCTGGGGCCCCTGACTTGCCCTGGGGCCCCTGACGTGCCCTGGGGCCCATGACTTGCCCTGGAGCCCCTGATTTGCCCTGGAGCCCCTGACGTGTCCTGTGGCCCCTGACGTGCCCTGGGGCCCCTGACTTGCCCTGGGGCCCCTGACTTGCCCTGGAGCCCCTGACGTGCCCTGGAGCCCCTGACGTGTCCTGTGGCTCTTGACGTGCCCTGGGGCCCCTGACGTGCCCTGGAGCCCCTGACTTGCCCTGGAGCCCCTGACGTGCCCTGGAGCCCCTGACGTGCCCTGGAGCCCCTGACTTGCCCTGGGGCCCCTGGCTTGCCCTGGAGGCCCCTGACTTGCCCTGGAGACCCCTGACTTGCCTTGGGGCCCCTGACGTGCCCTGGGGCCCCTGACGTGCCCTGTGGCCCCAGACGTGCCCTGTGGCCCCTGACGTGCCCTGGGGCCCCTGACGTGCCCTGGAGCCCCTAACGTGCCCTGGGGCCCCTGACGTGCCCTGGGGCCCCTGACGTGCCCTGTGGCCCCTGACGTGCTCTGGGGCCCCTGACGTGCCCTGTGGCCCCTGACGTGCCCTGGGGCCCCTGACGTGCCCTGGGGCCCCTGACTTTCTCTGGGGCCCCTGACGTGCCCTGGAGGCCCCTGACTTGCCCTGGGGCCTCTGGCTTGCCCTGGGGCCCCTGACTTGCCCTTGGGCCCTTGACGTGCCCTGGGGTCCCTGACTTGCCCTGCGGCCCCTGACGTGCCCTGGGGCCCCTGACTTGCCCTGGAGGCCCTGACTTGCCCTTTGGCCCCTGACGTGCTCTGGGGCCCCTGGCTTGCCCTGGGGCCCTGACTTGCCCTGGAGCTCCTGACTTGCCCTGGGGCCCCTGACGTGCCCTGGGGCCCCTGACGTGCTCTGGGGCCCCTGGCTTGCCCTGGGGCCCCTGACTTGCCCTGGAGCTCCTGACTTGCCCTGCGGCGCCTGACTTGCCTTGGGGCCTCTGACGTGCCCTGGAGGCCCTGACTTGCCCTGGGGCCCCTGACTTGCCCTGGAGGCCCCTGACTTGCCCTGGGGCCCCTGACTTGCCCTGGGGCCCCTGACGTGCCTTGGGGCCCCTGACGTGCCCTGGGGCCCTTGACGTGCCCTGGGGCCCTTGACGTGCCCTAGTAAAGGGTGCTAAAAACCACCACCTTAGTTGCATGTGATAAAAGTGTACACATTGTCTCGATACACACACACACGCGCGCGCGCGCGCGCACACACACACACACACACACACACACACACACACACACACACACACACACACACACACACACACACACACACACACGCACGCACGCACACGCCGAGGGGAGTGCATCTCCCCCTTAATCAAGAGCTCGGAGAGGTGTTGAGTCTCGTAGCGTAGCGCGAGTTGAAGAGCCGTGAGAACAAGTTGCAGGCAAGTTGAGTTATTAGCCATTCAAGGCGGTTAAGTTTGGCGTCGCCCGAATATCAGACCGAGAAGCTCGGTCCCCCCCTCCCCCCTTCCTCCCCCCTCCCCCATTGCCCCCCTCTTCCCTTGCCCCCCTTCCCCCTTGCCCCCCTCTCCCCTAGCCCCCCTCCCCCTCCTCCTCCCCCCTCCTCCTCCCCCCTCCTCCCCCTCCTCCTCCCCCTCCTCCTCCCCCTCCTCCTCCCCCTCCTCCTCCCCCCTCCCTCCCCCCTCACCCCCCTAACCCCCCTAACCCCCCTCACCCCCCCTTACCCCCCCTTACCCCCCTCACCCCCCCTTACCCCCCCCCCCGGGGAGGATGGGGACGGCCGAGGCATCTGGCAGGAGAAAGTGCCAAGCCGTTACGACTATATAGCAATCGGATGGGGTTAGGATAAGGATTAGGGGGTGGGACGGGGGGAAAAGGAATGGTGTCCAGCTACTTATGGACGGTCGGGGATTGAACGCCGACCTGCATGAAGCGAGAGAGCTTAATCGTTCTACTACCGTCCACCCCAAGTGGTTGTGCATACTCTCAGTTGGGTATAACTCCTCAACCGCGACGGTAGTTATACCGTCGCAGTTGACTCTGCGAGAGTATAAAGTATTTACCCAACAAACACCCAACGTAAACACAACGTTAGTTTGTACGTTGTATAAACGTAAGAGCGGTGCTACAGCGTGTGTTTGCTGGGATACAGCTGAACGTACTTACTGTAGTGGAGATAGCAATTCCCGCCAAACTCACACCGAAACTACGACGTTGGTACAACGTTCGAACAAGTTTTAATACCACCTAACCGGTTATAACAACCAATATAGCAAGTTGTAACAACGTTCTAATACGTCATAAACACGTTAAGCCAAGATGTAACAACCTTATTACAAGTTTTAACAAGCGGAAAATAGAGACAGTTACAGTTTGTGTTTACAAGGGAATTAAGGGCCACTTCACGTCTGTTCTTAAGCCTCGCCTTTCCGCCATATTTGTCGCGTAATGACACGACTGTTCCCTCGTTTTTGTTATATATGAATTGTGTATTGGGTCGGCCTCATACACTTCTTGGGGTCTCGGGCATGTATACCTCTAATACTGAAGTGTTTGTCTTGCGTTTGTGGGTCGTAGGTGTACCCTATCTGTGCCCATCTGTACCCTATCATCCTTCTGTTCCTTGGGGTGAATATTGGTTTATTGTCTGCTTTGAATATTCATTTTGTATGTCGTTATCATGTCCTACGTAGTTCTCCTCCTTTCCAGTGTGGTGCGGTGCGGTGCGGTTCTCTCATTCATTCTTCATAGCTGAGGAACGAGCCAACAGCCTTACTGCCTTTGTGTTGGTTCTTGTCCGCACGACCAATCAGGTCTCTGACAAGACCTGATTGGTGGTGTGGTTAATCAGGTTGCGATATAGACATTTTGCTGCTCACTGTCTGACCTCTCAATCCCCCCGGTTGATCAGGTAGCCTTTGGAGGTGTGTATCAAACTGTCTTTTGAACACAGTGAGACGTCGTCTAGTTATCCCCCTAGTTTTTCCCAGTTCTAAGTTGGGAGGTTCCATGGCGGTGCTGCATACCCTCAATGTGTAGCACTCTGAAGGCTCCTTCGTCCAAGCTCCTGATGGCACATGTGCCCAATTGGCCAATTGTTGGCCAAGTGACCACATGCTACTGACATCATTCTGGTGATGTGAATGCTTAAATTTACTGGTGGTTATGCCAGATCACCTGTCATAACCAACAATCACCAGACGTGTAGGAAAACAGCATGTAAAGGATTTGGGAATAATAATGTCTGACTACCTAACGTTTAGGGAGCATAACCAAGCAAATATTGCGACAGCCAGAAAAATGATAGGATGGATTACGAGAACTTTCAAATCCAGGGATCCCATCACAATGGTTGTACTCTACAAGTCACTTGTGTTGTCCCGTCTTGAGTACTGCTCAGTACTCACTTCTTCCTTCAGAGCAGGAGAGATTGCTGAAATAGAGGGAATACAGAGGACATATACGGCACGCATAGATGCAATAAAGCATCTAAATTATTGGGATCGTCTCAAAGCCCTCCAAATGTACTCACTGGAAAGAAGACGAGAGAGATACCAAATAATATATACGTGGAAGATACTGGAGGGCCAAGTACCAAATCTACACAGTAAAATAACAACGTACTGGAGTGAACGACATAGAAGAAAATACAGAATAGAACCAGTGAAGAGCAGAGGTGCCATAGGCACAATCAGAGAACACTGTATAAACATCAGAGGTCCGTGGTTGTTCAACACCCTCCCAGAGAGCATTAGAAATATTGCCGGAACAACCGTGGACATCTTCAAGAGGAAACTAGATTGTTGTCTCCAAGGAGTGCCGGACCAACCGGGCTGTAGTGGGTATGTGAGCCTGCGGGCCGTTCCAAGCAACAGCCTAGTGGACCAAAATCTCACACGTCAAGTCTGGCCTCGGGCCGGGCTTGGGGAGTAGAAGAACTCCCAGAACCCCATCAACCAGGTATCAACCAGGTACCAACCAGGTATCAACCAGGTTATGCAAACATCGCTTGTAGTGTCCACACCCGCACTTGGTATAAGCGGTCTTAAGCGAAGAACAAAGAATGATACAACTGAAGCACACAATTGGATGAAAGAGTATAACAAAACTGATATTAATATAGCGATCAATATAGTCATAAAAGAGAATAGGAAGGAATGGATATAAATTGACTAAGTTTAGATTCAGGAAAGTCCTGGATAAATAACTGGTTTGGAAATAGGTTTGTTGACATACGGAACATTAACGGGTGATCTGAGTGACGTGTGATCACGATTGTTTCAAGAGTTAGACATAATTATGTATTTTGGTGGAGGTGCCTATCACAGCTGTATCGTATAGGCCTATAGATCTTCTGTAGTTTCCTGTATTATGTTGTGATGTCGGCTAACCAAAATCACAGGTATTACATTAGGTAACTTTGACCAAATTTGAACGTAACTTCCAGGAACGATATAGACCTATATTTTTTGTTGAAAATGAGTTTTGAATGACAATCTGGGTGTTGCATGCAACAGCAGTGTATCTGATTAATTGTAGCACTTTAAGTCCAATATTATGGCAAGAAAAAATTCTTTGCACCCCCCAAACCAGCCAAACCCCCCCCCCCCCCCTGCTCCCCCCTACCCCACCCCCTAACCTCCCTTTACCTACTTGTGAATGCCAAAAAATTGGCTATGAATTGGGGATTAAATGCGATCCCTTGATTAACCAATGAAAAAGTTTGTAAGGATTGTGGGTAGGATTGGGGGAGGGGATTCGCAGGATTAGTTCCAGGAAAGTTTCTGGGCCTCTCGTCAATCCGGTCTCGATCCTGTCTTAATCGCTGCTGCTGGTAAGGACTTCCTCATTTCCCGCTCCTGTCATCTCCTGCCCTTCCCGCTCCTGTCATGCCGCTCCTGCCATGCCGTTAACTCTTGTCATTTTATTTAACATCTTACCTATTTTATTCTTCATGCTATGTTATCCTTATGCTATCGCGTGTCATCTTAACCTCCCCCCTCCCCGTCTCAGCCCCCCCCCATGCCATCTTTTCTTAAGACCCGTCTCAGCATCCATACCGTCTCCTCTTAAGGACCGTCTCGACAGCCCCCATACCGTCTCCTCTTAAGCAGCATCCCGCGGTCCGTTCAGCTGTCACTCAAGCTGGTTATTTAGGTAGACAGTCCGTCAAGATTGTGTCACAACACTGTCCCAAGTTATGAGCACTAGTGGACGTGATGGCTGGCTGGCTGGCCGGCTGGCTGGCTGGCTGGCTGGCTGGCTGGTCAGATGGCTTGTTGACTGGATGGGTGACCAGCTGGATGGCCAGCTGGATGCCTGCCTGCCTCCCTGGCCGAGTAGCTGGCAGGTTGCCGGCTGTCATCTTGGCCAACTTGATTGCCCGAGTGATTTACCGCCTCTCTGGCTGGCTAACAACCCCGATAAAAGAAAGAAAGAAAGAAAAAAAGACTTCTTTAAACCATTTTTTAAACCCGGGCGGGGTGGGGGGGGGGAGTAAGTAAGGGCAAATTGAGCGTGTACAGCAGGGGGTGGGGGAAGGGGGGGGGTTGGGGGGTGATTATCTGGGGGGTGGTAGGGGGGGGGTCCAGTGGGGCGCTGGAGGAGGTCATTCTCCAGACGAGGCATTAGCGTGAGGGGTCCTTAAGAGACTGGGGTCTTGGAAGGGGGCGGGGGGGGAGGGGCGTCTCATTATCCCTGCTCTCCTTCCCCCCCCCACTCCGCCCCCTCCTCCTCATCCTACCCATCACTACCACCCACTCCCTCCCTCTCCTCTGTTGGCTGAAATGTCCCCTCTTTGTTGGGGGTGGGAGTGTCCCTCTCTCTTCTGTGTTGGGGGTGGGCGTGTCCCCTCTCTTCTGTGTTGGGGTGGGAGTGTCCCCTCTCTTCTGTGTTGGGGGTGGGAGTGTCCCCCTCTCTTCTTTGTTGGGGGGTGGGAGTGTCCCCCTCTCTTCTGTGTTGGGGGTGGGCGTGTCCCCTCTCTTCTGTGTTGGGGTGGGAGTGTCCCCTCTCTTCTGTGTTGGGGATGGGAGTGTCCCCCTCTCTTCTTTGTTGGGGGTGGGAGTGTACCCCTCTCTTCTGTGTTGGGGTGGGAGTGTCCCCTCTCTTCTGTGTTGGGGTGGGAGTGTCCCCTCTCTTCTGTGTTGGGGGTGAGATTGACCCCTCTCTTCTGTGTTGGGGGGTGGGAGTGTCCCCTCTCTTCTGTGTTGGGGGTGGGAGTGTCCCTTCTCTTCTGTGTTGGGGGTGGGAGTGTCCCCTCTCTTCTGTGTTGGGGGTGGGAGTGACCCCCTCTCTTCTGTGTTGGGGGTGGGAGTGACCCCTCTCTTCTGTGTTGAGGGTGGGAGTGACCCCCTCTCTTCTGTGTTGGGGGTGGGAGTGTCCCCTCTCTTCTGTGTTGGGGTGGGAGTGACCCCTCTCTTCTGTGTTGGGGGTGGGAGTGTCCCCCTCTCTTCTGTGTTGGGGGTGAGAATGTCCCCTCTCTTCTGTGTTGGGGGTGGGAGTGTCCCCTCTCTTCTGTGTTGGGGGTGGGAGTGACCCCTCTCTTCTGTGTTGGGGGTGGGAGTGTCCCTTCTCTTCTGTGTTGGGGGTGGGAGTGTCCCCTCTCTTCTGTGTTGGGGGTGGAAGTGTCCCTTCTCTTCTGTGTTGGGGGTGGGAGTGTCCCTTCTCTTCTGTGTTGGGGGTGGGCGTGTCCCCTCTCTTCTGTGTTGGGGGTGGGAGTGTCCCCTCTCTTCTGTGTTGGGGGTGGGAGTGTCCCTTCTCTTCTGTGTTGGGGGTGGGAGTGTCCCCTCTCTTCTGTGTTGGGGGTGGGAGTGTCCCTTCTCTTCTGTGTTGGGGGTGGGAGTGTCCCTTCTCTTCTGTGTTGGGGGTGGGAGTGTCCCCCTCTCTTCTGTGTTGGGGGTGGGAGTGTCCCCTCTCTTCTGTGTTGGGGGTGGGAGTGTCCCTTCTCTTCTGTGTTGGGGGTGGGAGTGTCCCCTCTCTTCTGTGTTGGGGGTGGGAGTGTCCCTTCTCTTCTGTGTTGGGGGTGGGAGTGTCCCCTCTCTTCTGTGTTGGGGGTGGGAGTGTCCCCTCTCTTCTGTGTTATGGGTGGGAGTGTCCCTTCTCTTCTGTGTTGGGGGTGGGAGTGTCCCCTCTCTTCTGTGTTGGGGGTGGGAGTGTCCCTTCTCTTCTGTGTTGGGGGTGGGAGTGTCCCCTCTCTTCTGTGTTGGGGGTGGGAGTGTCCCTTCTCTTCTGTGTTGGGGGTGGGAGTGTCCCTTCTCTTCTGTGTTGGGGGTGGGAGTGTCTATTCCCAGCAACTCAATGGACTCAATACGCAAGAAATAATAGGGAGGGCAGCTGATGGTAGTTGATAGTGAATGAGGGCAGCTTGGGTTTGATAGACGTGAGGAGTGAGGGACTGTGACTGTGAGGAGTGAGGGACTGTGAGGAGTGAGGGGCTGTGAGGAGTGAGGGACTGTGAGGAGTGAGGGGCTGTGAGGAATGAGGGACGTGAGGAGTGAGGGACGTGAGGAGTGAGGGAGAGTGAGTGAGTGAGGGACGTGAGGAGTGAGGGAGATGAGGAGTGAGGGGCTGTGAGGAGTGAGAGACTGTGAGGAGTGAGAGACTGTGAGGAGTGAGAGACTGTGAGGAGTGAGGGACTGTGAGGAGTGAGAGAGTGTGAGGAGTGAGGGGCTGTGAGGAGTGAGTGTGAGGAGTGAGGGGCTGTGATGAGTGAGAGACTGTGAGGAGTGAGGGACGTGAGGAGTGAGGGAGGTGAGGAGAGAGGCAGGCAGGAGTGGGACCTGCAGTAGGAGGGCGCCGCCCCACCCCCCTCAACACGCTGTAGGAGGCTCCGGGGGGCGAGGGCGGCGGCGGCCTGACAGTGTCCCGCTGCCCACTGTGGAAGAAGGACGCGCCTTTAGGGCACTCGACCCCCTTTCCCCCCCCTCTCTCCCCCCCCCCTTCACTCGCGACCCCTACTCCCCCCTCCTGTGTGTGGCACTCCTGTCACTCCTTGCACCGTCCGCGTCCCCTCCTAGCGAGGCTCTGAGGGCCCTGGTGCAGTGTTCACCCCCCCACCACCAGGAAGATGTTCCCCCCCCCCCACACACCCCCCCTTCCCTCAGTCTCCCCACCCCCA